GGACGCCCTGGAACGGATTCAACCTCGCCCTAGCCCCGCCCGACATCGTGTCCCCAGGGGATGACATTTTTGCACACAACCCCCGCTCCGCGGCTTTGTGCCAGACCTGATGGGCATGTTTTCCACCACCACCACCAGAAGTTGGACGGGGGAAGGAGGTGGAGGAGGAGGAGGAGGAGAAGGATGAGGATGAGGAGGAGAAGGAGGAGGAGAAGGAGGAGGAGGACCCCCTCCCCCTCTAATTTATGGTGGTGGTGGTGGTGGTGGTGGCGGTGGAAAACAGGCCCATCAAGACCAGCTTGCTTGTGGAGGTGGTGCGCAGGAGTCGTGGCGCCACCTCGCGCCGCCCCCTGCGTTGGGCAGCCACTGCTGGGAGGTCCCCGTCGGAAGGACTCGGGAGGATTGAGTCCCCCTGGGGGGCTGCGACGCCGGATCAGGCCGCGGACGAAGCGGGATTAAGCCGGCTCAGGCCGGCTCAAGCGGGATAAAGCTCATGCTGCTCCCGTCACACTTAAGGACCACATCCCTGCAGAAGCAGGCTTGAGCACCCGGACAAGCGCCGAAACAGTGTCGAACGAGTGTCTTCCAGGGCCCGACACGTGAAAATCCTCGAGTTTCGGTACTCCCTTGATGCTCGAAAATATTTCTGGTGATTCAGGCTAAAGTGGGCTGGAACATCACAAGATGAAGTCCGATTTAGTTGGATTAGATCCAGCTTAATCTGGCTTAAAATCAAGCTTAAGGCCAAATTCTGATGTTCCCTGAGATCCGACGTGGCGAAAAAAGTGCAACATCGTGAACATCCGCGCCTGGAGCCTCGGACCCCATCTCTCTGCGTCACTTATCGAGCTGGAGCGACTTGTTGAGGGTCCCGGGACCCGAAGAAGGGCGAAAACGCCCGGCTCGAAAAAATTGAGTCGCCAGGATCTCAGGGTTGCTTACCAGCCTGGAACATATCTCTATCCATAAGCTGGGCATCGCCTCATCACGATGCCAATCTTAGGGATTCCCTCAGTTTTTCAGGGCGCATCCCTAAGATTGTCATCGCCTTTGGGCGTGTCAATATTAGGGATAGGGGTAAATTCGAGGCTGGTGAGTTGCCGAATTCGGACCACGGCAAAATCAGAATTTGGCCTCCCAGGAGTTGCAGCCGAGCCTGCGGGCGCCTCCGCACCGGCCACCCGGGCCATCCGGGAGGGATCCAGAGCGCAGGAGGATGCGGCACCCTCGGGGGGGAGGAGGAGGAGGAGGAGGAGGAGGAGGAGGAGGAGGAGGAGGAGAAGGACGGGTGAGGGAGAGGATGAGGAATGAGGATGGAGAGGAGGAGGAGGAGGAGGAGGAGGAGGGCGGCAGGTGCCTCGGATCGGCGTTGAGCCATGGGGGAGAACGAGCAAGGGCGGGCCGTCTCGGAAGGCTCTTGGAAATCCCGGCCTTCTGAGAAATTCCTAAACCTTCTCCGAAGACACGGGCCCCGGGCCCCGGGCGTGCCTTGCCAGGATAGGTGAGGTGCTCCTCCTCCTCCTCCTCCTCCATATCCTCCTCCTTCTCCATCTCCTCCACTTCCTCCTCCTCCTCCTCCTCCATATCCTCCTCCTCCTCCATATCCTCCATATCCTCCATATCCTCCATCTCCTCCATCTCCTCCAGCTCCTCCAGCTCCTCCCCCTCCTCCTCCTCCTCCTCCTCCTGCTGCTCCTCCTCCTCCTCCTTTTTCCCTACCTAGGCTCTGCCTAGAAGGGTTCTTACTCTGTTTGCTTAAAGGGCCGGGCAGTGGGGCACGCCCCGGGCGGTTCCCCTGGCATCCGCCCCGCGGTTTCCCCAGTGACGTTCCCTTAGCTTCGCGTTGCTTATCTCATCTTAGCTTAGCTTATTTCATCTTACCTTAGCTTAGGGTCATATGACCTCAGTTTTATCTTAGCTTAGCTTACATTCATCTTAGCTTCGCTGAGCTTTAGCATAGCATAGCATAGCAGAGCATATCATAGCATAGCATAGCATATCATAGCGCAGCATCGCATATCATAGCATGGGTGTGATTCCCTACCTAGGCTCTGCTTAGAGGGTTAGCTTAGCTTAGCTTAGTTCATCTTAGCTTAGCTTAGCTTCATATAAGGGTTAGATGTTGCTTTCCTAGATCCTCCAACTCCTAGGTAGGGTCGCAGTGGGATAATACTCTTATCGCTCGAGACGACCTCGGGGAACGCCCCAAATCGCTCGAGACGGCCCAAACCGTGCGGCCACCCCGAATCCCCACGGAGTCACCACACCCCGTGTGGACATCGCACCCTGTTGGGGGCCCGAGAAGAACTGACGACGACGCGCGAGGTGTCTCTGCGCGACGTGGATCCCCCCCGAGATGGAGACCTCTTCGTCGTCGTTGTCGTCGTCGTCGTCGTCCGTTGTCATCGTCTTCATCGGGCGTCGTCGTCCTTCCTCCCGCAGTGGTGCCAGGTCTCCAGCGATAGGAATGTTCAATCCTGGCGCTGTTGCTGGATTTCGACCTCCACGGCGCGCCCTCGGGCCTTGGAACCTTGAGGCGTGGATCCGAGGAGGGCATCGGGGCCTTCTGGAAATCTTGGAGACGAGATCTCTTCTCCAAGATCGGCTCTCCATCCCAAGCTGTTTCTGACGGCCCCGCGGGCCGGGTGAAGGCCAACGCGAGGAGGTTCGGGTTTTCTTCATGGCGAAGAAGGGCGACGAAGACCTCCAGAAGGTCCCGACTCCCTCCTCGGATTCGCGCCTCAAGGTTCCAAGGCCCGAGCGCGGGTCGTGGACGCCGAAATCTTGGAAAAGCGCCAAGATTGAGCATTCCTATCGCTGGAGACCTGGCCCCACTGCGGGAGGAAGGACGACGACGCCCGATGAAGACGACGACAACGGATGACGACGACGACGAAGAAGACGCCGACGCCGACGCCACAACAACCCCCGACAACAACGACGACGACGACGAAGCCGCCGCTGCCGCCGGTGCCGCCGCCGAAGCCGACGCCGCCGCCGCCGCAACCGCCGACGACGCCGACGCCGACGCCGACACCGACGCCGACGACGACGACGACGACGACGACGACGAAGACGACGCAACCGCCGACGACGCCGACGCCGACGCCGACGACGTCGACTTCGCTGTCGGCCCGAGAGGGGCACAAGGGAGAGGCCGCAGCCGTCCTGCGGCGCAGGCAGCTCGTCGAAGAGGCCGCCCGCCATATCTGTGGCGGACTGGCCCGGGGGGGGGAGGGGGTGCTCGTCGCCCGTCTCCGCACCCTCCTCCCGATGTCCTACCTTTCCTCCGTCCCCTTCCTCCTCCTCCTGCTCCTCCTCCTCCTCCTCCTCCTCCTCCTCCTCCTCCTCCTCCTTCCTCCTCCCCACCCCTTCCTCCTCCTCCTCCTCCTCCTCCTCCTCCTCCTCCTCCTCCTCCTCCTCCTCCCCCTCATCATCACCATCATCATCATCATCATCATCATCATCACATCATCATCATCATCATCATCATCATCATCATCATCATCATCATCATCACCACCACCATCACCATCACCATCACCATCACCATCACCATCACCATCATCATCATCATCATCATCATCATCATCATCATCATCATCATCATCATCAGCATCATCAGCATCATCATCATCATCATCAGCATCATCAGCATCATCAGCATCATCATCATCATCATCACCACCATCACTCCTCCTCCTCCTCATTCTCCTCACCCGTCCTCCTCCTCCTCCTCCTCCTCCCCCTCCTCCTTCTCCTCCTCCTCCTCCTCCTCCTCCATCCCTTTTCCTATCATATATGGCCTCACTGTGGCAACCCGACGACGTATCGTTAGAGCGGGCATGGCGTTTCGACCGTGACTGTCAACTGGAGCTCAAAATTCACAACACGAGGGAGTCAACCTGGCGCTCTCGCCTTGGCGTCGCGCGCATTCCTCTGAACAGTTCGCCACCGCTCCACAGGGAAGAGCACAGGCCGCTGTCACAATTGGGCCCTCGCCTGCACGCCGCGCACACTGGCACACTTGTCTTAAAAACGTGCAAGCGTTTGACATGTGTAGGCGGTCGTTGTCAGAGTGGGGCCGGTGCCTCAGCGCCGCGCCAACAGCTGCAAAGACAGAGCCGTGGTCGTTTTCGAAATGGGGTTCGCGCCTTAGCGCCGCACGCGCGCGTCTGAAAGTTTGAATCAACTTCAAGGACGGAGGGAGGAAAAGGAGGAGGAGGAAGCGAAGGATGAGGAGGACCCGAGTAATCCCAAGGTGCATCAACGATGCTGCAACCCACACTCTGGTCCCCGGTCCCCATTTGCATACGTCACGAGGACGAAGATCAGGAGGAAGAGGAGGAGAGATGCTGATGATGACGATGCTGATGATGATGATGATGATGATGATGACGATGATGATGACGATGATGATGACGATGATGACGATGATGATGCTGATGATGATGATGATGATGATGATATTGATGATGATGGTGATGCTGATGATGATGCTGATGATGATGATGCTGCTGCTGATGATGATGATGGGCAGGAGGAGGAGGATGAGAAGGAGGAGGAGGAGATGGGAGGGGGAGGAAGAGGAGGAGGAGGAGGAGGAGACGGAGGAGGAGGAGGAGAAGGAGACGGAGGAGGAGGCGGAGGAGGAAGAGGAATAGGAGGAGGAGGATTCCGGAGGAGGAAGAGGATAATCTAGGATTTTTTACCCCATCACGCAACCGCTTGACTGGAAGTCCACATGCCCCGGATCCACCAGCCCGCCAAAATGAAACGAAGGCGTCAAGCGTTGAAACGTTTCCCCAGCAGCACTCAATTTGGAGTCCGTTTCCCCTCATGGGGGCTATTCGTACCGGTCAGAAGCTCTATAGCGGCAGAGCAGGCCCATAACGGCACAGAATTAAACGCGCACAAACGAGCATAGCATTAGACAACAAACGGTAGAGACAAAACCCAGGTTCCTATCCCGCAGCTCAACGCCTTTAGCACAAGGAGCTGGACCGCAGATTTCCGCGCCCATCCCGCCAGCATCACGAGAAAAAACTGGCGACCTAGTGCAACTCGACGGCATTTCAAAGGGAAGAGGAAAAAGGAGGAGAGGGAAGGAGGCAAGCGGAAAGGGGGAGCACAATCACAGCTAGCAGGCTCCATGTGCAAATACGAGAATAGCTACAGGCAGGAACCGCGACTGAAAAGACAGCGGCCTGTACAGACAAGCATTGGAATTTCGAAAGGTTTTGGACCGGAGGCACCCTTGCGCCCCAGATTGGCCGAAACCCCAACGGCGGCAGAGAACCAAGCCCGTTGCACAGGAGCCCGGGGTCGGCAGCCTGCGGCCAGGGAGAGGCCAGATAGGCGTGCAAAGAACACTATACAGAATACCTCCCATGCAACAGAGCGACGAAGGAGAGGCGAGCGGAGAACGAGGGGGGAGGGAGGAAAGGAGGAAAGGAAAGGGAAAACAGGAAAAACAGCAGCCAGTGCACACCGGATGGGCAGGAAGAGGATAATCTAGGATTTAGGAGGAGAAGGAGGCTCTCTTCAGAGTGGGTCCCCTGTCTTCGCGAAACGCACACTCGTCCAGAAGTCTGCTGCAGCAAACCTCAAGGCCGGGGGGGGGGGGGGGCGTTTTCCAAACGGGGCTTGCGCACTCGACCACTTTCTGGCTGCCTACCAGACCGCCCCAACACAACCCGAAGAACCCGAATTTCGCGTTAGGGGGGTACGGGCTTCATATGTGTTCCTTCTAAGTTAGAGGCACCCATGACGGCCCCAAGAGATCCCCCAAACACTCCAAGAGCACCCCCACACACGGCCCAAAGAAGAACCCCGCTGTGGCCCTCCTCCTTCTCCCCCCCTTTGTTCCTGCTCCTCGTCCTCCCGTGAGGGAACGCGACAAGACTGGGGTCGTGTGACAGACCGCACTTGCACAACGCATCCCGTTCTTCAAACCGCCATCAATGGTCTCCAACTGACCCGACGTCGGCGGTGGGCACGGGGGCTCGGCGCAAGGGGGGCCCTCCTCCTCCTCCTCCTCCTCCTCGTCTTCATCCTCGTCCTCCTCCTCCTTCTCATCCTCCACCGCCCTCCTCCTCCCTCCTCCTCGTCCTCCTCCTCTTCCTCCTCTTCTTCTTATTTTGATTAGTATCATTATTAGTATTAGTATTCCTCTTTTTCCTCCTCCTCCTCCTCCTCTTCTTCCACTGCTTCCTCTTATTCCTCTTCTTCCTCTTCTTCCTCCTCCTCCTCCTCCTCCTCCTCCTCCTCCTCCTACCCCCACGCACCCATCTGGTTAACACGGGCTGGGATCGATGCGGCTGTTTCAATGCCTTCCGACGCCGTGCCGAGAGTCCACGGCCGCCCCAGGACAGGGGCCCGAAGGACCAAACAGTTAATGGTCTCCACCAATTTGTCCTTCGCCGTGTTACAATAAGGGCGTTGACCTAAGGAACCCTAAATACGGAACGAGGCCTCTCTTTCCCATAAGTTAAACTTCGTTTTCCCATCGAAACCCTAAGCAAAACCAAAGGCGAACTGCAAAACCACTGAGGAACACCGAACCACTCCCCAACGGAAAAGGCTCCCTCCTCAGCGCCCCGACTGTAAGCTGCTTCAAATGCTCGTACAAGGGCCAGCCCACCGACCACCCTGACAAGTGCTTCTATTCCCCAACACCCTCCTCCACCCCGTGCAGTATTCCCCGTCCGCCCTCCCTTTCCGTTTTCCCACTTCCCGTGGCGCCTCGGGAGCGGACCAAGAAGTCCTGCCGCGTTTGGTGTCCCCCCCCCCGCCACCCATGCAACACTTACGCTGCTGTGGTTACGGCTTGGGCGCCCGAGGCACTGAGCAGGCCGTGGAGACGAGCAGCTACATCCGAACAGGAACCAGCGAACTCCCGCTCCAAAAGCAGAGCACTCTGCCACCACCCCCTCCTCGATAAACCCTCCGTTTCCACTTCCGCATCTCTTCCAAACCGTTTTATGTTCCTTCCCCCCTCCCCTGTAAACTCATCCGTGGCGCAAACGAGCTCGCCACACAGACAAATGGCTAAGCTAGTAAGCCCGAAACAAGTAGACACCAAGTGAGGCAGAAAGAGAGAGAGAGAAAACAAAAAAAAAGAAACAACTGATACACAGACAGAGGAAAGAGAGCGAGAACGGGAGAGAGACAGAGTGAGAGAGAGGGATACAGAGAAACACACAGAGTGGGAAAGAGGAGAAACAGAGAAAGAGAGAGAGAGAGGGAGGGAGTGCGAGCGAGAGAAAAACCGCGAGAGAGAGAGAGAGAGAGCGAGATGTTGGATCCCAATGGGGGGAAAGACGATCACACAACCTTCTGTCGAGGCCTTGCGGAACTTGCCGAAGGTCCCACGCCCCTTTCGCCCTCCTCTGCCCCTGACCAGCCTCGACCCTACCCCGAACCCCAATATTGGCAAGCCAGAAGGCGACGATCAGCTCAGCGATGCGTCCTCAGACGCGGAGGCAATCCTTAAAATCGGCGTCGAGACAAGGCGATGTCAACCAAATCGTAGGGATCTGGATCCTTGTCAGGTTGGTAAGCCCCACCTGCCTCTCTCCCTCCTCCTCCTCCTCCTCCTCCTCCTCCTCCTCTTCCTCGTCCTCCTCCTCCCCCTCCTCCTCCTCCTCCTCCTCCTCCTCTTCCTCCTCCTCCTATGCCTCCTTCTTCTCCTAATCCTCCTCCCCCTCTACCTCCAGTCTTTTGCCTGGAGATCCAGAATCCCTGCGTGATGTTCCGAAAATATATCATGGTCAGTGGGCTCCGCCGATGACATGGGGAAGAAGGGGTAACGAGGTCAAGCATACAATAGGGTAGCACTGAAGGGAGGAGGCCAGCCCGCCGGCCGACGCACGCGCGCGCGCGCGCCGCAGGCTCGCTCCTTTTCCGTTCCCCTAGGGCCAAAGTTGTAGCTGCGGGAGAGAAGCAGTCAGTACATCGGACAGTGCACGCAAGGCAGAGGAGCAAGAAGAGCAAGAGGATGGTGGGGCGGGAGGGGTGCATTGACTCCCCCCGCGGCCCGGCTTTCCAGCAACTTTCCCGTGTCGAGAAGCTGCTGGTGGTTCAATTCGATGACATCCGCGGTGATCCAAGGGCGTCGAAACCCCTAGAAGTGGAACGCCTGGCCCTGGGGGCCTTGCTGGAACGCACCCGTGCACTGCTGGAGGTAGGCGCGAGTTTGTTCTTTTGTTCTCAAACCCCTATTGATGAAATCGACGTCCCGACCCAGTGCTAAATCGTCTCTTTCGTCCTGCATCACGAGCGCATCAGGTTCTGGTACGATGTCCCTGTTAGTCCTCGGCAATGAGAAGTTTGGTCGGTGGTAACCTTGCACTAAAGGTGAACAGTTTAAGTCGTCGTTTTCACACTTCGGCTTCTTTGTCATTGGATGGGGAGCCATGCCTGTAGATCCTCGTGTATTCCTCACTGCGCGCATGACATCGGGGGAGCTCGACATCGGCTGTGCCGGCGAACATCCACCTCGGTCTGGGCTTCCTCCGTCTGGGAGATCGTCATCTGAATCAAGAATTGCCTTCTGAATTGCCCCAACCGTTACATGGTCAATTGACGCGCTCGCTAACGGAGCTGCGCCTGAGGCGAGCCCGACGCATCCATCGGGGAGAGAATCGGGATGATACAATGGACCAGGCGAGGTGTGGAATCGAGCATGTTCTTCGTTCTTTTCAATCGAATGAGAACTGTCCTCTTCCGATTGCAAGTCGCTCGCGTCCTCGCTCTGTCCACGCAGCGCAAACTGCGCCGCGGGTTCTGCGCCAAGGCCCTCGGCGCCCGACATTCCTATGGGGACGTGATCCAACAACTTCTCCATCCCAAGATCTAGGTCGATCGATGACTGAAAGCCCGGATGTACCGACACCAACTCAGATGGTCCCTCGGCGGAAGGTTTGGCTGTGCCACACCTGCCGCCCGAGGCTTGTGCTCTGGACCTCGTCGCCGAGTCAACCGAGGACTCCCCTCCTGTCAAGTCAAAAACAATCTCCGATGCTGGCTTTCTGGGAAGATTGAGAGAATTTGGTCGCCTCATAGAGGCATCTACACTCCCGTTACGCTCGGAAGGGTCTAGATCTCCTGTTCGTTCGAGCGCTCCTTCTTGTGATCCTATAATCTGCGGAGCTAACGGCTGTGCCGTCGCTTCGGTTGATAACCAGACTTTTGCCTGGATATTCATAATCCCTCGATTATGTTCCGATAATATATCATGGTCAGTGGGCTCCGCCGATGACATGGGGAAAAACGGATCATGCCGTCAAGCATGCACTAGGATAACACTGAAGGGAGGAGGCCAGCCCGCCGGCCGACGCACGCGCGCGCGCCGCAGGCTCGCTCCTTTTCCGTTCCCCTAGGGCCAAAGTTGTAGCTGCGGGAGAGAAGCAGTCAGTACATCGGACAGTGCACGCAAGGCAAAAAAGCAGGAAGGGCAAGAGGGTGGTGGTGCGGAAGGGGTGCATTGACTCCTCCTCCCCCTCCTCATCCCCCCCCCCTCCTCCTCCTCCTCCTCCTCCTCCTCCTCCTCCTCCTCCTCCTCCTCCTCGTCCGCCTCCTCCTCCTCCTCGCCCCCACCCCTCCCTCTGAAGTTCCGAAGTCTGCCCTGCCCCATTACCCGCGAGCCCGCATCCCGACCTGCCCGCCCCGCCTCCTGCGGGCCAGAGCTGAACGTGTCGTCGGCAGCCCCGCCGGCGTCTGGCGGCGGAGGAGGACACGGCGGGCCGAGCGCACTCGCACGGGGCACATGGTCGCGGGGAGCGCACGCCGATCGAACCGAGTGCCCGGACTCTCGCACTCCATATAACATACATACATGCGTACACACATGTATGTATGCGTGTATGTGTGTATGTGTGTATGTATGTATGTATGTCTGTCTGTCTGTCTGTCTGTCTGTAGGTATGTATGTATGTATGTATGCATGTGTGTATCTATGTATGCATCCATGTATGTGTCTATGTATGTATGTATGTGCGTAAGTGTATGTGTATGTATATGCGTATGTGTATCAGTATGTGTATGTGTATGTGCATGTGTGTATGTATGTATGCATGTATGTATGTGTGTCTGTATATATGTATGTATGTATGTATGTATGTATGTATGTGTGTGCATGTATGCATGTATGTATGCATGCATGCATGTATGTGTGTATGTATGTATGTATGTATGTATGTATGTATGTGTGTATGAATGTGTGTATGTATGTATGTATGTATGTATGCGTGTGTATGTATGTATGTTTATATGTGTGTATGTATGTATGTGTGTATGTATGTGTCTATGTATGTATGGACGTATGTATGTTTGTGTATGTGTATGTGTATGTGCATGTGTATGTGTATGTGTATGTGTGTGTATGTATGTATGTATGTATGTGTGTGTGCATGTATGCATGTATGCATGTATGTATGCATGCATACATGCATGTATATATACATATGTATGTGTGTATGTATGTATGTATGTGTGTATGAATGTGTGTATGTATGTATGCATGTATGTATGTAAGTGTGTGTATGTATGAATGTATGTATGTATGTGTGTATATTAATGTATGCATGTATGTGTATGTATGTATGTATGCCTGTGTGCATGTATGTATGTATGTATGCACGTGTATATGTATGTATGTATGTATGTATGTATGTGTGTATGTATGTATGTGTGTGCATGTATGCATGTATGTATGGATGGATGTATGTATGTGTGTACATGTATGCATGTATGTATGTATGCATGCATGTATGTATGTGTGTATGTATGTGTGTAGGTGTGTATGTTTTTGTGTATGTATGTATGTATGTATGTATGTGTGTGTGTATGTATGTATGCATGTATGTGTGTGTATGGATGTATGTATGTATGTATGGATGTATGTATGTATGTATGTGTGTATGTGTCTATGAATGTATGGATGTATATATATGTACGTATGTATGTATGAGTATGTGCATGTGCATGTGTATGTGTATGTATAAGTATGTGTATGTGTATGTGTATGGGTGTATGTATGTATGTATGTATGTATGTATGTATGTGTGCATGTATGCATGTATGCACGTGTGTACGCATGCATGCATGCATGTATGTATGTAAGTGTGTATGCATGTATGCATGTGTGTATGACTGTATGTATGTATGTATGCATGTATATATGTATGTGTGTATGTATGAATGTATGTATGTGTATATGTATGTATGCATGCACGCATGCATGCATGCATGCATGTATGTATGTATGTATATCTGTACATACATACATGTACTACAACCATCGCGCGCCGGCGCTTCGCGCGCGCTCAAGCTCTAGCTAGATTGGGCGCCAGACCAGACGTACGGGCCCGTGATTCCCAACGCCCCCTGCGTTGGATTCCCGATTTGAATAGAGCACTATTCGCGGGTCTCCCTCATAATCCTACTGCTCCACCTCCTCTTCCCCCTCCTCCTCCTCCTCCTCCTCCTCCTCCTCCTCCTCTGCTTCCTCCTCCTCTCCTCCTCCTCTGCTTCCTCCTCCTCCTCCTCCTCCTCTGCTTCCTCCTCCTCCTCCTCCTCTTCCTCCTCCTGCTGCTGCTCCTCCTCCTCCTCCTCCTCTTCCTCCTCCTGCAGCTGCTCCTCCTCCTCCTCCGCCTCCTCCTCCTGCCGCCTGCCTCCTTGCCTCCCTTCCTCGTGCCTCTTGGGCCGTCTTGAACTGATTTCGCACGATTATCGAGAACACGAATTCGCCGGCCCAACGGGCCAGAGGCGTGCTAAGATCTCCGGTAACTGGTTAACAATTGTATTGTACTAGTTCGCGCGCGCGGGGCGGCCCCTGGGGGTCCCCCGGCGAAAAGTACCCCGCCCGCCGCCTGGGAAGGTCCCGCCCGGTTCAACTCAGAGATGGTTTTCCTTCTGGGTGCGGCCTCTCAGGCCGCCCTGAGCGCGCCAAGAGTGCCCCAAGAGGCCCCCAAGATTGCTCAAGAGGCCCCCGAGACGTTCAAAGAGCGCTCCAAGGCGCCGAAGATGACCCCAAGACGGCCCAAGAGACCCCCAAGACAGCCGAAGAGGCCTTCAAGACGCCCCAAGAGCCTTCCAAGAGGCCTCCGAAGAGGGCCCCAAGAGGCCAAAATCGTTGATTTTCATTGGTTTTTCCGATGTTTTTTGCGTTCTGGCTTTTTCGGCTTCCGGACGCTCCAAGACGACCCAAGAGGCGCCCAAGATCGCTCCAAGACGGCCCACGAAGCTCCCAAGACGGCCCCGAAACGGCCCAAGAGGGCCCCCAAGACGGCCCAAGTGCCGCCCAAGACGGACCAAGAGGCCCCAAGACGGGCCCAAGAGGGGCTCAAGAGGGATACAGAGAACTGAAAAATCGAGCCCTCCGCCCCAGAAGCCGCCCAGGAGGTCCCAAAGAGGCCCTAAGAGACCCCCAAGAGGCCCCCAAGACGCCCCAAGAGGCGCCCAAGAGGCCCAAAAGAGGCCCCAAGAGGCCCCAAAACGGCCTTAACAGGCCCCCGCTCCCTGCAGCTCCGCACTGCCGACGACCTCTCATCCAGTCGACCGCGGTGCGCAATACGGGCCGGCGGAATGAGCGAAGCGATTAAATAACCTTCAAAGACAATTGAATCAACCTACTTGTTTCGCCTCCTGAGGGCCTCGTGGGAGTCCTTTTGAGGGCATCTAGGCCGTCTTGAAGCCCTCTGGGGCTGTCTTCAAGCCATGTTGGACCAAGTTTGAAACGCTCTTGTGCGGTCTTGGGTTCTCTTGGAGTGCTCTTGGGCCATCTTGGCGCCCTCTTGGACGTCCCTCGGGTTTTCTCGTCGCCCCCCTTCCCCTCCTTTTACGCGTTCTGGCACCCCCGACGGGTCCAAAACGGCTGGATACGAAATCAGTGCACTCCGGGGGGCCCTATAGACACACGTATGCATATATATATATATATATATATATGTATAGATGCATACATACATACATACATACATACATACAGACAGACAGACAGACAGACAGACAGACAGACATGCATACATACGTACGTACATACATACAAACAGACAGACATACAGACGTACATGCATACATACATGTATTACATACATGAAATATAGAGAGAGGCAGATCAACCAAAACAACGATCGTTGTTGGTTGCAGTTTTCGCCGTCACCGCTATGAGAATACTGCTCCTTCTCCTTCTCTCGTGTTTCCTCTTCCTATTCCTCGCCCACGGCGCGACGACCCGTGAGCTAGCTGAGAGACCGCCGCCACCTCCCTCATCCCTCCTCCCTCCTCCCTCCCTCCCCTCCTCCTCCTCCTCCCTCCTCCCCTCCTCTCGCCTCCCTCCCTCCCTCTCCCCTCTTATCCTTTCTCTCGCCTCCCTCCCCCCTCCTCTCCTCCTCTCCCTCCTCCTCCTCCTCTCATCCTTCTCTCCTCTCCTCCTCTTCCTCTCCTCTTCCCTCCTCCCTCCTACCCTCCCTCCTCCCTCCCTCCTGCCTCCTTCCCCTCCTGTCTCCTCCCTCCCCCCTCCTCCCCTCCCCCTCTCCCCGCCGCCCGCGGCCGTGGAGGGCCCGGCGGCTCTCCTGACCTGCAGCCCCGTCGTCGTCGTCGGTCGTCCGTCGTCGCCGTCGTCGTCGTCGGTCGTCGGTCGTCGGTCGTCCGTCGTCGTCGTCGTCGTCGTCGTCGTCGTCGTCGTCGTCGTCGTCGTCGTCGGTCGTGCGTCGTCGTCGGTCGTGCGTCGTCGCCGGTCGTGCGTCGTCGTCGGTCGTCCGTCGTCGTCGTCGGCCGTCGTCGTCGTCGACGCATCTCTGCCGCACCCCGAGGCGCGTCGGTAGGGCGTGCCCAGCGTTCCGCCGGAGACTTCCTCACCACTCGTGATCCTGGAGCGTAAAGTCTGCAGCAGTTTCGCGAGCGGTGAGTTTTCAACAAGTGGCTCTCGCCTTCGCGCCGCGCGCACACGATGCTCAAACGTCTGCAAGGGCTCGACGGGTGGAGGGAGGGCCATTGTCACAGTGTGGCTCTCGCACTCGCGCCGCGCGCATTCTTCTTAAGAATGTGCAAGCGTTTTGCGGGCAGAGGGCGGATCGTTTCCAAAATGTGGCTCTTGCCTGAGCGCCGCGCACATTCGTTTAAACAAGCTTGCAGGAGTTGACGGGTGAAGGGCGGGCGGTTTTCGCAGTGTGGCTCTCGCCTGAGCGCCGCGAATATCACTTTGAATGATTCGTATGGCTGACGTCACAAGTATGATGCAATCGCACGACGTAGGACGATCTGTCAGGGCGCAGCATTCACGCAGACTCGCGGTGTTGAACTCCCAGGCATGGCGTGCTGGAGAGATTTGGGGCCGTCAGGGCGCAACAGTAACACTGCTTCGCGGCGTCGACGTCCCAGGCATGATGTTTCGGCACGGCTCGGGAATGTCAGACGGCTGTCTTCCAACGGGGCACTTCCCCAAAGGAAAAAACAACCTCGTAGGGATCTAAGAGCCGGGAGCTTGGAGGCAAGGTTCATTGCAACACGGTCCTCCTCCTCGTCGTCCAGCCTCCTCCTCCTCGTCCTCTTCGTCCTCCTCCTCCTCCTCCTCGTCCTCCTCCTCCTCCTCGTCCTCCCCCTCCTCCTCGTCTTCCTCCTCCTCCTCCTCTTCGTCCTCCTCCTCGTCCTGGTGCACCTCCTCCGCTTCTCCTCCTCCTCCTCCTCCTCCTCGTCCTGCTCCTCCTCGTCATCGTGCACCCCCCCCCTCTCTGGCTGGACCCGGGGCACCGTCGCGGGCAGCGAAGATGTCGTCGTCGTCCTGGGTGGGCGGCGATGCCCTCGGGCGCCCTCCGGTTCCCCCTCCTGCACCCCGTCCATCTCAAATTGCTCCTCCATCTTGCTCCTCCCCTCCTCCCCCCCTCCAACCTGCTCCTCCTCCTGCTCCTCCTCCTCCATCCTGCTCCTCCTCTTCCTCCTCCTCGTCCTCCTCCTCCATCCTGCTCCTCCTCTTCCTCCTCTTCGTCCTCCTCCGCTTCCTCCACCTCTTCCACCTCACCCACCTCCTCCTCATCCTCTTCCTCCTCCTCCTCTCCCTCCTCTTTCATCCTGCTGTTCCTCGTCGTCCTCCTCCTCCTCCTCCTCCGCCTCCTGCTCCTCATCGTCATCCTCGCCGTCCTCCTCCTTCCTGCTCCTCCTCCTCCTCCTCCTCCTCCTCCTCCTCCTCCTCCTCCTCCTCCTCATCATCAGCATCATCATCATCATCCGTCCTGCTTCTCCTCCCTCCTGCCCTTGCACCCACACGAGGAACAAAAGGAACGAGATGGAGGACAGAGGCAGATTGAAGAGGAACCGTGGGGGGGGGATGAGGGGCAACAAGGGAGCACAAGGTAGGGAAGCGGGAATACGAAGCAAGAGGAAGGGGGGGTCTGCGGAGGTGGATGCAGGAATCTGGAAGGTGGAGGGAGGGGGGGGGGAATGGGACGGTGGCCTACCTCCGAAAGAGGCAGGTCCAAGTGGGGGGGTGATGAGCAGGAGGCGCAAGGGGACAGGCAAGAGGAAGAACCCTTTCTCTCCCCCCTCTTCCACCCTCAATTCAGCAGTGCCCTCGTCATGACCCTCCTCATCCCAGTCCTCGTCCTCCACCTCCACCTCCACCTTTCCTCATCATCCTCTTAGGTCTGTACAATCAACATCACAATCCTAATCATCCCCCTCGTTAACCCTCTCTTCGTTTTCACACCGTGAATTCCTTTCCAGTACGGCCATGACATATGTTCAAAACCCTCCCCATCAGTATCTTCATGATCATCAGCATCAGCATCAGCATCAGCATCAGCATCATCACCATCACCATCACCATCACCATCACCATCACCATCACCATCACCATCATCATCATCATCATCATCATCATCATCATCATCATCATCATCATCATCATCATCTGGGACGCACATGGACATACTAATACTATATGTCCTCCTTGGAGGCGCGCGTCCGACCCGAACATATAGTATACCCATCTTGTAGTATATCGTTTCCCGAGCGGTGTGGCCAGAAAGCGCCCGCCACGACGCATATACTATATGATTTCTCGATGCGCGCGTCGCCCCTGGGGGGGCGACGCACATATAGTATAAGTATGTTGGGGTGTTGCCGATCATCATCATCATCATCATCATCATCATCATCATCAACAGCAGCAGCATCATCAGCATCACCGTCATCATTAACATCATCAGCACCATAATCATCAGCATCATCAGCATCACCATCATCATCATCATCAGCATCATCATAGTCATCGCCAACATCATCATCGCCATCATAAGCATGGTCATTGTCATGATCATGATCATGAGCATGATAATGATGGTGATCATGACCATGAACATCACCATCATCATCCGCAACGTCAGCATTATCACCATCATCAACTGCATCATCATCATCAACAACGACGTCAGCATCACCATCATCATCATCATCGGCATCACCACCATCAGCATCATCATAATATTCATCATCGTCAGCCGCATCAGCATCATCAGCACCAATATCGTCATCATCAACATCATCATCATCATCATCATCATCAACGTCATCAACATCACCGTCATTACCATCAACTTAATCACCATCATCAGCAGCAGCAGCCTCACCATCATCATACAAGAAATAAATATCATCACCAGCAGCAGCATCGTCATCATCAGCATCATCAGCATCAGCATTGGCATCATCGTCAGCATCATCATCATCGGCATCAGCATGATCATCAGGATCATCATGATCATCATGATCATCATGATCATCATGATCATCATCATCATCATCATCATGATCATCAACAACATCTTCATCATCATCACCATCATCATCACCATCACCACCGGCATCATCGTCAGCAGCATCGCTGTGATCACCACCAACACTGCTCCATTAATATTACTATTATCTTAGTCGGCTTCTTCATCGTCCCCTACAACATCACGATCAACATCGCTGACAGCAACATCACCACCGTCATCAGAATATGCATGCTCACCACCACCACCACCACTATCATCATCCTCATTCACAGGCTGTCATTCCCCCTTGCCCCTATCTTCCTCTGTGTGTCTTCACAATGTGACAATGTGGCTGCTCTCCCCTTCCTCCGCCCCATTATCCACCTCCGTTCACATGTTTCCACTTCCCCATCCTTGTCCATTGTTGGCTCCTCCTCCGCCTCCTCCTCCTCCCTCCCCTCCTTCTGCTCCTCCCGATGCCTCCTCTTCTTCCCCTCCCTCTCCTTGACATCCGTGCTGTGCTTCTACTGCCCCCCCCCCTCCTCCGCCTCGTCCGCGGCACCTTCCCCCACCCCTCCTCCGCCGCCTCCCTCGCCCCCCCCGCGCCCCTCTTCCAGGCTGCCCGTGCGGCGTCCACCCCCCCCTCCCCTTCCGCCCCCCCCCCCCCCCACCGGAGCAGCGCTCCTCCGCGGGCGCCGCGCCCGCGGTCGGCGCCCTCCGCGGCGGCGGCCCCGCGGCGGGACCTCGGCGCTCCGCAGGTCGCCAAGGCGCAGGGCGACGGCGCGCCGCGCGAGGAGCGGCGAGGGGCGCGGGCAGGGAGGGCGGGAGCGAAAGGGGGGGAGAGAGTGGGCGGCCAGCCCAGGGGGGGCAGGAGGAGGGGGGGGGAGGAGGAGGAGGAGGAGGAGGAGGAGGAGGAGGAGGAGGAGGAGGAGGAGGAGGAGGGGGAGGAGGAGGAGGAGGAGGAGGAGGAGGAGGAGGAGCAGGGGCGGGCCTTCTCAGATGGCTCGGAAGTCCTGCGGCTTTCTCAGGAAGAGTTGTCCGAGGGTCCCCCGACGACGCAGACAGCTCCTCTGAAGGCCTCCTCCGAAAGCCCCGCCGCCATTATGAGAAGGCCTCCTCCTTCTCACTTCGTCCCCTCGCTCGCTGCCGAGAGAAAAGGGCCGTCGGCCGCGAGGGGGAAGGGGGGGGCGCAGGGGAAGGCGGCGGGGGAGGAGGAGGAGGAGGAGGAGGGAGGAGGAAGGGGAGGAGGAGGAGGAGGAGGAGGAGGAGGAGAAGGAGGAGGAGGAGGACGAGGATGGGGGAGGAGGAGGTGGACCAGTGTAAACCCAGGAATCACCAACGATGCTGGAATAACCCTCCCCCAAGCTCCCTCTTCGTAGGCCCCTACAACGGTTCATCTCCACAGAAAGACCTGCCTCGTTGCACGACAACCGTTTGAAGACCCTGAAACATGCCAAAACATGATTCTCGGTCTTCGAACGCCACGGGTAAACCTGACTGTTGCGTTCCGACCTTCCTGAATCGTGCCAGGACGCCATTTCTGAGACTTCAGCACCGCGAATCATCGTAACTGTTGCGCCCCTATAATCGCGAGCACTTCCAAAACGCAATATCTGGTACGTCGATCATGGGAACCAATGAAACTCTTGCAATGTGTCAACAAGAACATGCGCGGCGCAAAAGAGACAGCCACATTTTGCAAACGAACCGCCCTCAACCCGTGAAACTTTGACAAAATTTGAAAACGAATCTGCGCGGCGCTACGGCGAGAACCACATTTTGAAAACCACCCGCCCTCAATCCGTGAGACTCTTGCACCTGTTTAACACAAATGTGCGCGGCGCTATGGCGAGACCCACATTTTGAAAACCACCCGCCCTCAATCCGTGAAACTTTTGCAAAAATTGAAACGAATCTGCGCGGCGCTAAGGCGAGAACCACATTTGGAAAACCACCCGCCCTCAATCCGTGAAACTTGCAAATGTTTAACACGAATGTGCGCGGCGCTATGGCGAGAGCCACATTTCGGAAACCATCCGCCCTCAATCCGTGTAACTCTTGCAAATGTTGAAAGGGAATCTGCGCGGCGCTAAGGCGAGAGTCACAATTTGAAAACCACCCGCCCTCCATCTGTGAAACTATTGCCAATGTTTACACTTCAGGGGCATAAATGGTTAGAAAGTCTCAGGCGAAACGCCCGGCCCGCGCTAAAAACTGGCCTCGGGGTGCGACAGGGAAAACATATTGATAAAGAATGATGGAGGAGGAGGAGGAGGAGGAGGAGGATGAGGAGGAGGAGGAGGGAGGAGGAAGGAGGGAGGAGGAAGGAGGAAGGAGGGAGGAGGAAGGCGGAAGGAGGAGGGAGGAGGGAGGAGGGAGGAGGGGCGAGGAGGAGGGCAAATACGGTCGGGCCGAAGACAGAACAAATCTTTAAGAGCATGGGACCCTCCGCCGGCCAAAACCGACGAACTTTCGATGGTGCCCTTCCCCAGGATGCACGAGACCATCCAACACACACGAAGAACACCAAGGTACCCTCCTGGAACAGACCTCGATCTTGTACCTCGGTCCGACAAGGATGAAGGTGGAACGGAGGGGAGGGGCCGAGGGCGCAGAGAGGAAGGGATGCCAAGGAACAAGGGCGCTGAACTGGGCCCGAAGTTCAGGCCACCCTGCATGGAACATAACAGATGCCAATGCATCTGCGAATGAGCAGGGCGGTTTGATGTAGTGGGTCTGCACAGCCTCGGCAGGTTCTGTTGGGGCGACCACCAAGAGCAGCCCCATCGGAACGCAAATAACAGCTCTCCCGACAACGTCTGAATTTGCACTGTACAACTTTGAATGCCGCTTCGTTTTCAAGTCGCGGCTACAACCTTGAACTACCATGCCCCTTCGATTTGCCAAACACAGAAAGGAGGAGGAGAAAGAAAGATGGGGAATAATAGAACTCGAAACACGGAATAAAAGAACCCAACGGTCTCAACTAGAGGCAACAAGCTGTTTCAAATCGGGACAGACGAACAGTATCAAACGAAGTGCATTCCATCTGCTGAAAGCGGCCAACTGTCTCTAGTCCTGGTGCCACTGCGAACCGCGAAAGACGGTGCGAAACACGCCAACAGTTCCAACCCGCAGGAAGGACCCTACAAAGAGTGACTCACTGGGGGCCCTGTGGTGGAGCGGGCAGTGCAGTGCATGCAAGTCGAGAACGCGATGGAAATCCCCGTGATCTCCTATCCCGCGGCTGGCCCGCTGGGGGAGCCCCGAGACCAGAGTCCCCGAACCCGCTTGACCCGAAGGCGCCCTGGACTTCCGGTGCCTCTAACGGCCTGGCCAGCAGAGTGCGGGTCCCACCGCGCGAAAACTGAGGCCTGGGGTTACGTCGGGCGTGCCTCCCTACAGGGGGAGTTTGGGCGAAACAAATACTTACAAAAAATGCCCCCCAAATGGGGAAAAATAGACAAACAATCGTTCCCAGACTATTTTATTCCTTCTGTAGAGGGACGTGTCCGACTTAAGCCTGGGGCGAAAAAGGGGGGGAGAGCTTCGCGCCCCCCAAAACCAAATCACACTGCTGGATACAAGTGCACATCAACATTGCAGCGACCTTCAATTTTGACCGTGCGCCAAGTCTTGCTATGGTTTCCCCTTGCAGCCGCTTGCGACTTTTCCGCCGCTGCGACGCCCCCCGACACCGAGGCCCCGACCGACGCGGGCGCGAATGTCCTCCCTCCTCCTCCTCCTCCTCCTCCTCCTCCTCCTCCTCCTCCTCCTTCTCCTCCTCCTCCTCCCTCCCCTCCTCCCACCGACGCGCGCAAACTCTGATGCGAGATCGCCCCCAACGGACGCGGCGCGCGCGCCGCGGCTGCGTCGCGGCTCGGGCAGTGGCGCGTCGCGCGCAAGCAGCGGGGCCATTCCACGCCGCGAAGGACTGCGGAAGCGCCACGTTGCCGGCTGCGCCCCAGGCGAGGAGGAGGAGGAGGAGGAGGAGGAGGAGGAGGAGGAGGAGGGGGAGGGGGAGGGGGAGGAGGAGGAGGGGGGGAGGGGGAGGGGGAGGGGGAGGAGGAGGAGACTCTGGAGACTCTGCCTGATCGCGTAGCGATATGGGAGGAGGAGGAGGAGGAGGAGGAGGAGGAGGAGGAGGAGGAGGAGGAGGATAAGGATAAGGATAAGGCCCTTGGGGGTCTGTCAACTTCGCCCACCGACAGGCATGCCGACCCCTGGGAGGGATATGGATGCGAGTCCACCCTTGCTCTGGGGGGGCCGCCTGAGGCGACGGGGCCCGCCCCTCTGGTGGGCGTGGTCCCCGAGCCTCGCTAGCGGGGAGACCCTGCCTCGGTATCGGCCTGTCAACTGCTGCAGGCGGTAGGGAGCTGCCACTATGGGCGCACCCCCCGCCGCTGAGAGCCCACCCACCTCCGCTCCCCATCCTCCCCCCCGCTCCCCACTCCCCAGACGGCAGAGAGAGGCAAAAAAAAAGAAGAAAGGGCGGCCTGGTACATCTCCCTGAAGGCTCTCGCTCGGCTAGTATGGATGCATGGCCGCACTGGCCCATGCGGTGAGTGCTTGCAGCCGAGCCCCCTCTGCTGGAGCTGGAGTGGGGGGAAAAAAAAGAGGGGAGAGCCAGGCCTGGTGCAATCTGCTCTCTACTGCCCTATGCCCCAGCCTGCCGCTGCTGCCGCCCTCGGCGATGAGAGCCTGACGTCCCTGCTCTGAGCGGAGCCGTCGGCCTTAGTGGCTGCTGTGGCGGCGGCTGGGGTGCTGGAGCTTGCCTCACTGCACAACACCTTGCCGCGGTTCTCCCAGCCCCCTACGCTCTTGCTCGGGCTGGTGCACGGCGGCCTGCGAGCGGGCTGGAGGTAGTCCTTGATCTCCATCTGCGGCTCCACCACCGTCTCCGTCTGCGTGTCGAAGGAGGCCTCGTCGTAGGCGTAGCCGTGCGGGCCCTTGGTCCAGCGCGTGTAAATGTGGTCGATCTCGTCGACCTGGCGCCTCGTGTAGTCCAGCTCCCATGGCATCGGGCCGTGCATCATTTTGCCAAGCTTGTCGTCGGTGATGCCGATGGCGCTCCTCACCGAGCTGATGGCGCAGTTGATGTCATGGAGCTGCTCCTTGAGGTAGTGCTTCGCTTGGCTACGCTCTGCTTCTTCATGTGGATTGAGGCTCCTTGCGTTCATGCGGCCTAAGGTGGTCACCACCTTCTCTCGCTGCTTGTGGAGCGCGTGGAGAGCCTTCTCGCTGTGCTCGGTCGCCACCTTGAACGCGACGGCGGTGCTCTGGAGTGTGTTGTGCGCGATCTCCAGCCTGTGCGCCGCCGTGCCCACGACTTGATCCGCCGCTCCTCCCGAGCCTCCTCTGTCGTGCGGCTTCTGCACTATCGTTGGCTGCAGAAGCTCGGCTTCGTCTGCAGCTGGCTGCTGCGCCATCTCCCCCTTCTCCGAGTGCGCCTGCGCCGCCATCGCAGCTCTGGTCGTGCGCCCTCGGGGCGCAGGCTCTGAACGTGGGCGGAGTATCCGCCAGCAATGGATAGAGAGGCCGCGAAGATGCTCGAGTCGCAAATGTCTTCTGGTAGTATGTCGAGCTGTGTACTGATCCTCGTTTACCTTAGTGGTTCCAGCCTACTGTTGTACACCTTAGATATTGTAGTAGTTTCCTTAATTCCCAGTAGTTGGGCCGTAAGGAACCGTAGTAGGACCTTGGTGTGAGAGTAGGCGTAGGCTCGGTCGTTCGCTGCAGTCGG